TAAAACATTAAAGTTAAGAACCAAAAATAAAATTTATTCTTTTTAAATTTGAATTGAGTTGTACAAACAATTTCTGTACAACGAAAAGAAATTGTAATTGTAAGAAGCCCCTAGCCCAAAACGACGTCATTTTGGGCCAAGGAATGCTTTTTTTTTTTTCAATTTGTCAATGTGTATCGGCCGAAATTTTAGTGAACCGACTGGTACACTAAAATTTTGGTCGGTACATGGAATTTTGACTGAAATGATCGAATTTTGATCGAAATGATTGAATTTTGATCAAAACAAAAATTAATATTATATCATTTCGGTTCACTTAAAAAATCGGTATGTACCAACTGTATCAGTCGGTAAGATACGGAATCCACTACTTTGGTTGAAAGAACTGCAGAAAACTGAGGTGTTGAAGATCTTAGATGAATTATACCCAGATTTGCACCTCGATGAAAAATATGAAGATACAGCTGTTGGGATACCATTCAAGATATCCAAGGAGAAAGCAGTAAGCTTGGGTGTGAGTTTCATTTCACTGGAGGTGAAATTGAAAGATACTGTTGAAAGTTTGAAGGAAAAGGTTTCTTAAGCATCTGAAACTATTGGCTACTTTTCCTTCTATTCTCCTGTTTTAGTCTAATAAAGTTATTCAATTTCTAATATTTGATATTGTAATTGTAGGTGTCATTGTGTTGAAATGATTTTATTGTGTTCCAATACTCTCACTCTTAGTTTGTTTTCACTCATTTTAGAGGTTCGTTATAATACATATAAAATTTTTAATTATGGTATAAATATCTTGCGCTTTTAAAAGTATAAAATAAACAAATCTTTGAAATAGAACAAAGCAACTAATATGAATATTAATTTTTAATTTTTAAGAGGGATAAATATTTTTTTATTTTATAATTATTCTTTAATTGTAATTATTTATTTTATTACTAGAATTTTTTTATTGTTTAGTATTTATTTGTTTCATAAAAATAAAATAAATAAAGACATAAATTTTTTCAAAATTTTTAATATATAAATAAATTTTTAAAAAATAATTATTTTAAAATAAAAAAAATAAACACCAGCCAACAACCAAGTGATTTATCCAAAAAAAATGAAAAAACCAACAACCAAGTGATATCAAAATGCCATGTCTTATTCTGCGATGAGCTAAGTACTGATATCTTATTTTCGCCTTCTGATGTGGTCATGCAGGTCCTGACCTGAGCAGAGTTCATGAGGTGAGAGCTAATTTTTTTATAATATGAATATTTGAATCTTTAATTCAATTAATCTTGTCCTGTGCAACCTGCATTTACTAATTATCTTGTTTATAACTATTAAGAAAAGAGATTTAATGTCTATATTTATTTTAAGTATTTGTCTAACTCGTATCTTTAGATACAAATTAAAAATATAATAAATATAATTTTTAATTAATTTATATAAAAAAAAATAAAAATTGATATTTATTTTAATACCATTGACATGGATATTTTTAATTAATTAATTGATTAATTTCAAGTCAATAATTATACTTTTCATGCAAATTACTTATAAAAAAATGTATTAATTATATCATTTAACATGTGTCTTACAAACATATATTAAATTTTTTTAATTGGTATTTTTAACATATGCTTTTAAAAGTATACTTATTATATTTTTAAACTTAATGAGTAGTTAAAATATATAAAATTTATTATTAATTTTACATACTACATAAATTATTTTAATTAAAGAATTAGTTAAATAAAATCTTGATTAAAGTAGATATTTACTTACACACTGAGTCTTACAATTACATTAATGATATGTTTGGGAACATGATTTCTAGGGAGTATATTTGAATTTGATCACTTCAAATTCAATATTATTATTTATTTTCATAAAATAAGTATGTAATTGAATTTAACTCAAATATATGTAATTAAGTTTATCTATTTCATTATTTTATTTCATTATTTTAAAATCTATGTATTTCAAATCCTTTCCAAACCACATCCCATGTGCTTCAAATTTAGATTCATGCATTTCAACTCTCTAAATTACGATGGAGCTCGACGATGGATAATTTATCCTCCCCCACCTTTCCTTCCATTGCCCACAATGAACTGAACCTCTAGCTGAGCAAGCTAGTATTCCCCTCTCCAGAAATGGGCGAGCAACGATCCACATGATTAACAACCATCACAACAAACAACTCCTAAGGCATATTGAGCAAAGCAGAGTAGCAGACATGTGCAGCTAAAGTGTCCTAGCAAGGGAAGATTAAACATGTGGATGGATTGGCAATAGGTGTAGACATAAAAGGGTGAGTCTAGTTGAAAGTTTGCAGCAGAGAGCTACTGAAGGGTGGAGGAAGAGTGGGAGGTGGACGTTGAGAAGATGATAAGGAAGGAGTGGCTGGAAAGGGAGACGAAGAGGTGGGTGCCCTTGATCGGATCAAAAGTAAGTGAGAGAGAATATGGTAGATGGGAGTGGGTGTTCGGGTCAAGGACAAGGTAATGGCCGATCAAAAAGTTTTTGAAGATTTATATTTGTTCTATTGGTGGGGAATGCTGGATTTTGGAATTGGGGATATTTCTACATCCTGTTTGTTAGTGGATGGGATAAAATAAAAGTTGTTATTTGGCTTGGGCTAGTTACTGAAAATGCAAAGGGAATGTCTTGAAGGGGTTTGTAAAAATTCCTCAATTAATTACTTGAATATCAAATTTATTTTTGTTATATTAAT